AGACGTTTGCTGCGCAACAACGTGATTGAACCTTCCTTCCCAGGTGTTCATGTATTGGCATATTGTTAGCTAACCAGTTGTGTGTATTTCTTTGTGAAAATGAGTACCGCGGCGTACTCATTTTGACAAAGCATGCCATAGAGGGTACCATATTATCTGAATGACCTCCGATGACACCCAGTATTAAAGAGTGTGCCCTATTGAAGCGTATAATGAAGGCGGATGCATCCCCTCTTGGAAAGAGGGAACTTCGAAATAATTGTCTCCATCTTTGCTAATTAAATTGATCACCGTAATTTAGCTTACACTTATGAATTTAGCTAGCGCTTAAAATGTACAATAATCATTTCACATACCCGACAAACTCCAAACTTTATCATTTGGCCTACATAATAGTTTCATCTTGCTGTACTATATACAGTACTTCAACATTACTGGCGCATGGTAACAACCAACTGATGCAGACCATTTCCGGTCCCACATTACTCTCCATAACACAGCACCCTCTAGTTCCGTCACCTCTGGATGGGTAGTTATGTGTAAACTCGATGGGTAGTTATGTAAAGTCGATTGGTAGGTATTGACCTCGACATATTTATGTCCGGCCTGGCTGGTGCCATAGAAGGGTACCATATTATCTGAATGACCTCCGATGACACCCAATATTAAAGAGTGTGCCCCATTGGAGCGTATAATGAAGGCGGATGCATTTTGAAATTATGCCAAATACTGTACCGGTACATAACAGATACACCGTTCAAATCTTCAGTTTGGTAAATCTGAACCTCCTTTGACAAACAAGCCTGTATCAGGCATTTGAGTTTCTAATAATATTACGTTCACCCTTTTTCTAAGATGGCAGAGAAAGCTTACAAGAGGTCTCTCCGTCGACGACCGATTCCAACTCGTTTCAGGAAGGAGTATGTTTCCGAAATTTCTAGCGATAGCGGAGAGGAAGCATCATATGATTCTGACGACGACGTATTCACGCCCGATGATTCTGACTGGTCTGGCGATCAGGCATCATCGGATGATTGTTTCGAGGAGTACGATTGCGAGGATGAGATGGTGGTGTTGGAGGACGACGACAAGGAGGAGGCGGAAGAGGTGGAGGAAGAAAGTGAGGTTACCCCATTTGGTTTAGGTTCTGAAGGTTTTGATGGACATTCTTATAACATCACAGGACGAATGGTGCCTACTAGAGGAGGTGGTCAGGCGGCTATGGTACGCTTAGAGCGCGCTGCAGAGCTACGTAAATGGCGACCAATGGATGAAGAGTCGTCATTCAAAGTTCACAAATTTAAAGGTCCAGCACCTGGGTATAAAGGTATGTTTGGGGCCAGAACTAAATCTATAGATTATTTTGATATCTTTTTTAATCACACCATTTTGCAGTTGATTGTTAACCAAACAAACTTATATTTCACCCAGTCAAATCCTGGAACAACATTCGTTGAACTGACCATTGAAGAACTACAAGCGTTCTTTGGTATGGTCATTATGATTTCGACAAAAGGAGTGAGGGTGCTAAGGCACATCTGGTCTAAGCTCCCGTACTTTCACGACAAAGCATTAGCCAGCATCATGACGCGTCGTCGTTTCTTTTGGATATCACGTAATCTTCACTTCAACGACAACACCCACATGCCGAAAGATCCAAATCCGGACCGTCTATACAAACTCCGTCCAATTCTTGACCATATGAAAGCAGCGTATCAACGTCACTACAACCTCTCAAAACACATTGCTATTGACGAAGCTATGGTGAAATTTAAAGGGAGACACAGGTAAAATATTTTTTTTTGTGTCTGATGTTTGTACATCAGCACAATTATATTTTTACGGTTCTTGTAACAAAAAAATCTAGTAGAGAGTATTCCGTGATTCAATTATCCATCCGTCCGTCCGTCCGTCCGCTCACCCGCCAGCAATTATTCATCAATCCATTCATTCATCCATGCATGCCTACATCCATCCATCAATTTATTTTCATTCATTCAATTATCATTCCATTCATTCATCCATCCAACCTTCCATTCATTCATTCATTCATTCATTCATTCGTTGAATTATCCATCCACTCTAACATTTAATTGTCCATTCATCCATTCATTCATCTATCTATCCACTTCCCCCCCCCCATTTATTCATTCATCCGTCCGTCCATTCATTCATTCAATTATCGATCAATTCATTTATTCATTCATCTTTCCATTTATTCATTCTTTCAATTATCCATCCATTCATTAATTAATTATTTACCAATCCATTCATTCATCCAAACATTTATCAATTAATTCATCCATCCATCCATCTATCCATTTATTCATTCTATTATTTATCTATCCATCCATTCATTCATTCAATTATCCATCCATACATCCATTCACCCATTCATTTATCCATCCATTCCTCATCCAGCTATAAATACATCCACATTCTTTTATTTATTCTTTCATTCATTCATTCATTCATTCATGAGTGAATGAATCAATCAATCAATCAATCACTCAATCAATTAATCAATCAATTAATCCACCCTTAATTCCATCCGCTCCCTCGTTCGTTCGTTCGTTCATTGATTTATTCATTCTTTCCTTAATTCACCCTTTCAATAATGCATTCATGAGTACGTTCGGTGCGTTCATTTATTCATTCATTCATCAATTATCAATGGATTTTTTTCTCATTATGGTTTTCGCAAACGAGTTACACAATTTCAGTGAACCATATGCATAAGATATTAACCTTTTTAGCAATTGTGTAATTTATATAATGAATTTTAAATGTCACTATCATCATCATAGTCAGTATTATTATTATTATTATTATTATTATTATTATTATTATTATTATTATTATTATTAT